TATTAACTTTATTATTTAATATTTACCAGTTTGTAATATGTTGGCAATGAACCATTTATCTTTACTATCGTAGTTGATTTTCATCTCTGGATTCGACTGCGTTAAACAATTGAAACTTTGTAGCGAGATATTGACAAAATTGATGTTCGTTTCCTTAACATAGCTCACAGGTATAAAATATGGTTTCCGATCTAATTTGTCATTAATCTCTTTCGATATTTTTACGAGATTATTAGAATAATCTCGTTTCACGTTTACCACAGGGCAATACGTTTGTGTAATCCAAATATCCATTATCTGTTTTATGCTTAGATTATACAGTTTATTTTTTAATTTACCATCTATACCAGTCTTTATAAAACTCCATAGATCATCGGGAGTTGGCGAATTAAAGTTAGGAAATCTGTAAAATTTAACATTGCGGCAATTCACATTATACATCATTGATTTGCATTGAAAAATTAAAATAATTATTCGTTTCAACAACTGTGGCAAAAAATAAAATTTTGACAGCCATAATAAATGTAGTAATGCTAAACTTGCTAGATTTAATTTTTGGACATTCTGTTAATTTTTTATTATTTAAACTTATGTTTTACTTGATATTTTACTTGAAAACATATATCTTTTGTAGTTTTTTTCACTACAAGTTAATATAAAATATATATATACAGAAATATTTAAATGAAATATTCTATTATGAATTTCAAATTATTAAAAATGACAATTTCAATACTGTAACATAATAATAAAAGAATATGTAGATAATTAAATTAAGGAACAGAATTATATATAGAATGCATAATATTTTTTTTCATTATTTGGCACAATTTATCAATAGCATCACTTCTGTAAGTGCATTATGTATTACTATTTCTATATTACGTATTCTTTTTCTTGTATATATACTATGGGATATGAAGTTATTTTATTACAATATCTCTTACCGAGTATTAAAGTATGTGTCTAAACCCATTAACAAGGAATTACGGGGAAGTGTACCATTCAACATGCGCCATATAGCGGGTCCTATAATGAAAACGTAGAATATAATTGTATTTATTTCAAATGAATTTACATATTACAGTATTCATAAATCCGTGAATATAATATACAAAGAAGTAGGTTCAAACTTTAGAAATTTCCGTTTCTTCTATTATAGCAATCTTTGATTAACGGTAAAGAAATATACAATCGAAACCTTTTAACCTCATTTTTGATATTTTTTGTTTAGCATATATGATCTTGTTTATTTTATTTACATACGTGTACATTTATTTTATTTATATATTAAATAAAATTTATTAAACACACAAAATTGTATACCTATGATACGAGAAAATGGAAAATGTGAACAAATTTCAGATATACTGCTTGTGTTTGTTGCAAAAGAGTTCATAGCGGAATAAGAGTTTAGATGAAGAGCTTCATGTTGAGTTTCAACTACCAACAAATCTGTAATGTTTTCAAAATCTGGATAGACCTGCAAACAGATTAAAGTGATCAATACGATTTAACGATATACACTAATGCATGCAAAATTATTTGTTGTTTTAAAAATAACTTCGCTATTTTATATCATAAAAAATTATAATATTTTTAATTTAAAGACAATAGATGTAACTATTTAATGTTAAAAAAATAGTATTAAAATTATTTAACAAATTCAGTTATTGTAAGAAATTGAAAAAATCAAATTATGTGTTAGCATTTCTTTCTTTTCTTAATGGATAAAGCAGAAACTACTAAGAATTTTTTACATTGTCACAATAACCAAAAATATTATTTGTAATTGCATAAGCCAATTAGTGTTGGAAATGTAAGATAACCTTTTTGATGATATGTGTTTCAAGGAATGTAATAAATCCTTCATTTAATAACCGATGAGATGAGAGACAAAATGGAGTGAAGAGATTACCAAACCATTGATATATTATATCACGAGTTACTGAGCGCATTACTGTAATTTTATACGAAGCAGGATGTAACTCTTCATTGTAGATAATATCTGCTTCACTGGAAATTATTCAAATACGATTATATCGAAATGTTTTATAAGCCTCCATAGTTCGCATAGTATTTATGTAAATTAAATATGCACAGATATCAGAGAAAAAAACTTCAAATATTGACAAAGCACATTTTTAATAAGCGTATATGAATAGATTATTTAAATTTAAATGAACAAAAAATAAAATTATAACAGTTTTTATAATATATGTTAATTGCAATATGTTAATTATACATAATTATTTTATAATTTTATGATGTGTATTCTATATTTATTGGTTTCTTCCTCTCAAAAATAAAATAAATTTGGTGACTATAATTTTTATTTATAACTTTATAAT